TCTATGGTGTTCCTGCGCACTCCCTCTATGGTGTTCCTGCGCACTCCCTCTATGGTGTTCCTGTGCACTCCCCCTGTGGTGCATTTGCTAAAGTGGTTCCAACAATCATCTATGATGTGCAACTGCACCATCTTTAAAACGCATCACTGTATATTTGTTATATTTAAATATATTTTAACTTAGTGAAAGTAAAGACATAGTGATGCCGCACACAGATTTTGTTGTTAATTCTTCTATACCATGGTCTGAATTAACCTATTGACGGAATTCAACAGCCTGCCCAGCCTTTGGACCATTTGTGTCACATGCTTGTGACAGCAGAATGCCCACCAGATGCTCCGTGAGAACTTTGATTCATAAAACCTGTGAGAAAATATCTTACTATTATTTCGCGGTTCACAAATTGGCATCAGGGTTTTAGCTTCAGGTGTTCAGGTGTTGTCATCAGCTGCCAAAACGACCTACTGACTTGAAAGATGCAGAGGTCTCCACAGCCCAAACACCAGCCAGATCCGATGTGGCCACCCCTGACTCAGTTGTCAGCAGATCCTCAGGTTGTCAGTTGACTCATCAGCTACCCTGGGCATGAGTTAGGGCCTTAATTGCAAAAGCAATAGAAAATGTCCTTGCCCTTGTCCTTTTGAACCTGAACTAATCTTATGTCTTGTCAGTGGGCAGAATGAACTGGTGATTAAAGGCCAGATTGGCAAGCACCATGAAGTTTTGGGTCCAATCAGTAGATTTAAGTTTAATATGGCAGGCACCACCTTCAAGGTGAAGTTAAGGGGAAAAGAAGCTTAGAAATGCTGGCAGAGTGCTGGTGATACATAACCATGCGTAGGAAAGAGGATGCGATTCTGTATTCCATCACAACATCCACCTGTCATGGCAGTGATAACCTGCACATTCTCTGGGTCAGCTCCCACTCCATTATCATTGGTGATGTGTTCCAAGAATCTCATGCTGCATCTGAGATAAACGGTGTCTTTTTGGGTCCAACTTCAGCTCATTTACATTCAGCTTCCAGAAGACCATTACTGCTCTTTATAGTGCTTTGGCTTTATCAGCAGCACAGACATATAAAGCTTCAAGAAAACACTGTAATGTGAAGGAGAACTGGCCCCTAAATACATACAAACACGCGAGAACAGGAAAAGCCTGTTCACTACAGGGCATCCAAATCATTTCCTCTCTGTTACGTTCGGCGTGCGAGGCGAGCGAGGAATCAGAGGAGAGAATACTCTAAAACGGGGTTTATTAGGGGGAAACATGTAACATTAATGACAGACCTGGGGAAACAGACTTGAACGCGGACTAATATACACAGGACTACAAGCAGGAAATGCAACACAACAGGTAAACGGAAGGATTCCACACGGGGTTAACGAGGTAGGCGTGGTCCACATGAGGGTGGTACCGGCATGGTGTGACAGAACCCCCCCCCCCCCAAAGGCATGAACTCCGAGCGCGCCTCAGTGGAACGGAGAGACGGGACCGGGAAAACAGTATCTGGAAAAACAGGACAAAACCATTAATGAGGCACAGGGAACAAAACCGAAACACAGAACAAGCACAAGGACAAGTAGTAAGACAGGACCTGACAAAGAACGGAAAACACAGACAGACAAACCAGAAAAGGAGACACAGGGGGAACAGAGAACTGAGGAACAGAAGGACAAGGAGTGAACACGGGAGGCACAGAGGGACGAGGAGCAGAGACAGGGGCACCCCTCGGAAGGGGGCCCGTAGGTGACTGGCGAGCAGGTACCAGGGGAACCATAGGCGAGCCCCGACCTCTATGCTGGTGTCCCCTCCTCTTGTGGGACACCGAGAGACGGGAGTTGGGAGGGGGTCGACCCGTTTGGGGCATCAGCGGGGAAGACCGCCTCCAGGAGGAGTTCCTTGGGGTCACTGAGGGGACAGGACCCGGAGTCCCGGTAGCTGGTGAAGCTGGAACCTGAAAACCAGGAGCAGGAGGTGCCGAGGACGGATCCTGTGGCACGGAAACCCCTGGGGCTAGCGCTGGGATCTGTGCCTCAGGAGCAGGCGCTGTTCGCTTGGGGATCCGCGGGATAGCGTTCCCCCCAGACCCGGCCCCCTTCAGAGCCAAGCGTGTCCCCGAAAAGGGGTGAACTGCCCCTCGTTGTCCCCTCCCTTTCTGGGACACCGATAGGCGGGGCTCTGGACAGGATCGACCGTGCTGGGGAGAGGACAGAGGAGTCATTCCAGCACCGTAGTCCCTGGGGCCTAGCAGGTAGATCCCCGAGGGGTTCTGTTTGAGCTCCTCCTCTCCTTCCACCAAGGGAGGAGGAGTGATGACGACACAGTCTGGGACTTCCTCAGGGACAGGGGTTTCCAGCGTAGGCAGAGTTGGAGCCTCAGGCCCAGCAGCGGCCTATGGGATGCGATACAGGCGGTGGCGCAACCGGGACCTTGGGTAGCGGCGAAGGCCTAGGAGCCTTGGGCGTATCTGCAGACGGAGACGGCGTTGGGACGGGCAGGACAGGCGGAGCAGGAGGCGCGGCCTCGGGCGGAGCAGGAGGCGGAGGAGGTGTAGCCACCTCGTGCGCAGCGGCAGCAGGCTGGCAGGCGTCGTGCGCATGCGCAGCCGGAATGGGCGGCAGCATGGCAGCGGCCTCCGAGGGCGCAGCGACCGGGACTGCCCAGCCAGGCCCTTCCAGCATGACCTAGGTAAGCACAACGGTACAGATAGGCAGAACAGGTAGAACAGGCGAGACAAGAGCCAGTGAGTCAGGCGGGTCTGGCGGAGCCGGCGAAACAGGCAGGACGGGCGGAACTGCAGGCGGAGCTTCAACCGGTGAAGGCGGCGGGGCCTGAGGTGTGGGCGAAGGTGGAGCTATAGCAGGCACCTTGGGCGCAGCTGGAGGTGGGGCCATCGCAGTAGCCTCGGGTGCAGCTGCAGGCGGAGGCTCGGGCAGAGCACCGGGCAGAGCCGGCGAGACAGGCAGGATGGACGAGCCGGGTTGGACAGGCAGGACCCATGCCGGCGGGTCGGGGACCTCAGCAGGCTATAGTTCTGGAACAGACAGGTTAGGTGGGACTGAAACAGGCAGGCGGAAGTCGTGCGAAGGCGACGCAACAGGATGGTGGGTGTCGAGCACAGGCGAGACAGCCACAGTAGGCAGAGCTGGGACAGCGGGCACTGCAGCAGGGGCCTCGCGCGTGGCAGCAGGAGGCTTAGCCTGCAGAGGTGCCCCGGAAGGCAACACAGCTGTTACTGGGACTGGGACCAAGCTGGGAGGTGATGTGGTGGCCAGGGCAAGAACCCCACAGGAAGGCGGGTCTATCTCGGGGTCCTCTGGTGCTGCCGCTGTCCGGGCAGGCAGGTCGGGCCAGACAGACAGGGCATGAACGAGCGGAACAGGAGGCGGAGCTGTAGCAGGAGCCTCCTCGAACGTAGCGGCGGCAGCAGGCAGGCAGGTTGCAGGTGTAACAGTGGCAGCAGGCAGGCGGGCTGCAGGCGGAACAGCTGCAGGCGGAACCGGGAGCTCAGACAATGCAGCACGCACCGCCGACTCGTGGCCAGCAGGCGGCGCCTCAGCAGCGAGAGCCACACTGGCCGGTGCAGCGGCCGCCAGAACAAGCTGAACGAGTCAGGCGGGATGGGCAGATCAGGCGCCGACAATACAGACAGGGCGGGCAGATCAGGGACATCCACAATTGCCGCCAGGGTCGGGGCTAAAAAAGCTGGCGTTGTCCTTTTAAAAGTACCCTCGACCTGAGGGCCCCCTGTTAGCCAGGCGCGCCACCCGGAAATGATATGCCGCTAGCGGCGGCTGCTCTATTACGGTGACGGGGGCTTTTAATACTTGCGGGAGCGTCGCAGCGGGGATGTCCACGGCAATCAGGGATTCCTCCTGATCACCAGCAAGGAGCGAAACTGGGGAGAGAGAGGCTGCTTCCAGGAAGATGGTTGGGGCGTCCTCCGATTTGGGATTTCTCCGCTTTTTCTTCTTCCTCCGGCTGGCTGTTGTAAGCGGAGGCTGGGTTGCTTCAAAGAGGGCGACCGGCTGGATCCACCTCTCCGTCAGGCGTTCCGTCAGCCTCCGGAGATTAGCGTGTACCTCGGGAATGGGGTACGCGTGTCCGGGTGGGGGTGCCTCACTAAGGAGGGTCCCGCTCTGGCTGGCTAAACTTAGCGCCACGGGGTCCTCCCGGACCAATAAAACACCTCTTGCAGCAAACCGAGGCGCTGATTCTCAGTATGCCGTGGTGCGTCTTCAGCGAGGTCTGTCATTCTGTTACGTTCGGCGTGCGAGGCAAGCGGGGAATCAGAGGAGAGAGCGGGAATACTCTAAAACGGGGTTTATTCGGGGGAAACATTTAACGTTAATGACAGACCTGGGGAAACAGACTTGAACGTGGACTAATATACACAGGACTACAAGCAGGAAATGCAACACAACAAGTAAACGGAAGGATTCCACACGGGGTTAACGAGGTAGGCGTGGTCCACAGGAGGGCGGTACAGGCAGGGTGTGACACTCTGCAACTCAAAATGGATGCCCGCGTTTGCCCTAGTGTGAAATGACCAGGAACTTTGGATGGCAGCAGTCTGACAGGTGTATGCAAAAATCTTTGCCACAATCTAGCATTATGAGCACCTTATTGTACTTCAGCATGAGCAGAAATAACTGAACTGTCCACAAACAGCTTATATCACTTAAGTTGTTAGTGGTTATTTGTTCAAGATTTTCCAGTGGGTGATAAAGGGCAGCACTAAGGAAACTTTGGGAACACTGGTGAAGTTGGGCAGCACAAGGTGGTTGACCTGGATTTACTCCCAGGCCTTCCAATATCACACAATGAAACCCATCAACTCTTTTTCAGTTCCTTCTCAGCGTTACTGGAATGTCATATGGATTTATGTCCCGGAGGTCTCATCAAGGCCACAGCCCACTCTACCATGACAGTGTGAGATTGACAATTTGAAGGCCCTATGAGTATGGCCCTAACATCTGAGACAGGGGCATTTGCTAGAAGCTTATACCACACAAGTGTTTCGTGTCTGGGCAGCAATGTCAAATCGAGAGCCAGCTTTGTAGGTCCTGTTATGTCAGGGATTATATCATCCTTCCACCTGGTGGGCCTTGGCGGCCGTCTGAAAAGCTGCTTGGCCGTGGTTCTGCTGAGATTCTTGGGCAGGTTTCAGCTTGGCCAGCTGCCAGCTTACAATGAAATCACCTGTCTGCTTCCTTAATCCCACGAAAAGGTCACAGACCGGCTATATAGTGTTAATATTGCCTGTAGCTGTACTCTGAAAAAAAGGTCAAGAAGAAATCTGTCCCTCCCTCTACCTCAGACATAGAAAGCTGATGGAATATGCCCATTCTCCTCTGTATAATTATAGCATTTGACATCGAATTGACTAATGAAAAGATGTTTTATGGAGTCATCTGTTTAACTAGTATGTATGTGAGTACTAGTTATCATTTGAATCCATAATGGTCATTTGTATGGATTACTGTCACACCCTGCATTCCTTTCTCCTCGTTCTCTCCATTTTGTGGCTCTAATGAGCCACACCTGTTCCTTGTTTAATCTCTCCTCTCATTACAGCCCTTGTGTGGATCACCCCAGGTGCCTCTCGTCTGCTCCCTCGTCAGTGATGTATATGGTGCCTCCCTGTCTTGAGCTCCCCAGTCCGGTCATTGATGTTGCAGCCTGCTTCTGCTCCCCAGCTTGCCCTGCATCCTGTGTTCACTCCTGATTCTCCCTACCACGTTTTGACCCTTTGTGGACCATTTACTTTTGCTTTGCATTTTTGTTTAAATAATGTC